AGAAATTCCCACCCACGTGGATGGTGGGGGGTGGTTCGGTCGAGCGCAGAAAACGCAAGAACACCATGCGGGACACAAATTATGTAATGAACTTACACTACAGAAAGGAATCACTAATAATGGTTTGAGCTCCTTGTTCTTTGTAGTTTTTTCCCCCTAGGAAACAAAAATAAAAAATAAAAACAAAGCAGAGGTCTCCATTTCCAGGGTGCTTCTGCTTATACAAATTCAAATATGGCGAAAAAACAAGCGTGGGTTCACTCTTCCCACCCTCGTTCGCCTTCTCATCTCTTCTTCTTCGTTCTTGCTCTTTCTGTCTTTTCCCTGGTTGCCATCCTCATCTACAAGGTCGACCTTTTTTTCTCCTTTATGTATAAAGGGCTTTACTTTGCTTATTTTAAAACGAGAAATGTTCTGATACTTTAGTTTTTCTTTTCCTTTTGGGAGATTTAGGTGGATAATTTCGCTTCACGAACAAAAACAATCGTAGGACATAATTTAGAGCCGACGCCGTGGCATCTTTTCGAGCCTAGGAACTTCACTGAGGAATCCCGACATACCCGTGCTTACAAGATCATCCAATGCTCCTATCTAACTTGTCCCTACGCCGCCGCCGACGGTGGCTCTCAACCCTCGAAGGAGAAACGGCGGGGTTTGGTCTCATCTCATACCCCTCCAAAGTGCCCAACCTTTTTCAAGTTCATTGACAATGATCTTGAACCATGGTTCAATACCCGGATTTCCATTGACCTGATAACTCAAGCCAAGGAGCATGCCGCGTTCCGTATTGTTATTGTTGAAGGGAAACTGTTCGTTGATTTGTATTATGCCTGTGTACAAAGTAGAATGATGTTTACGCTATGGGGTATTTTACAGCTTTTGAAGAAGTACCCTGGGATGGTCCCTGATGTCGATATCATGTTCGATTGCATGGATAAGCCTACCATCGAGAGGAATCTATTAGGAAATGGGTCTTTGCCGATACCCCTGTTCCGGTATTGCACGACCGAGGCTCACTTGGACATCCCTTTTCCTGACTGGTCCTTTTGGGGCTGGTAAGAATTACTGAAACCACAACTTTTATTGAGATTGTATGTGAATAATCTGTGTTAACAATGAGCAAATTTATCCCAAACCTGAAATGATACGAATAGCTTAAATTGCTCATGAGGCCCAGATTTTAATTTGTTAATTATTCTATGCAGATAGCAAGTTAAATGGAGTAGACCATTGGATGGAATTATTAATTGTATGAACATAGCTAAACTTAACAACATTGTGTTCCTCTATGCAAATTTGTCTGCATATATTTGTACCGCATTTTATGTTACTGCAATCCATGCTTCATGTTCGATTACTCCTGTAAGTCATAGTGTAAATGTTAAGCCAAATGTTTTCTTAAAGGGTTTCTCTTGTTATGTGAATCCTTTGTATATTGGTATGCTATGTGTGTTGGGATATATGTGTATATATATTTAGTTCCCCTCTTTGGTTTTCGTCTTGCAATTTGTCAATTGTCATTAGCCACAGCTGCTGTTGCGGTATACGAGATGTGGTTTATGAATGACTTGTCTGTAGGTCGGAAGTAAATATAAAGCCATGGGATGAGCAGTTCAAAGAAATTAAGAAGGGATCACGAGCTCAAACCTGGGCGACGAAGATTAAACGTGCCTATTGGAAAGGAAACCCAGACGTTCAGTCTCCAATACGTATGGAGCTAATGGGGTGCAATGACTCTAAATTGTGGGGTACAGAAATCATTCGTCAGGTTGGTTTGAAATTGTTTTGTGAATGCATGAATTTCTCTGCAGTAGAAATGATAGGTGTAACAGGCAAAGACATGTTCTTCTAAATTCTATATACGTTATTTGATGGTGTTGCTTTCTATTGTGCCGTGTAGAACTGGACTGAAGAAGCAAAGGCTGGGTATGAGCGGTCTAAACTATCCAATCAATGTAAACATCGGTGAGCTCTCTTCTTTGATTGATATTACTGCAGCAGATAGTTAAGTTGTTTCTGACTGATATTACTATAGCACACATATTTATATTCATCATTCACATTTGAGTCCGGAGAACATAGCCAAATGCTAGTGTGACGGGCCTCGAACTTCGCTAGACTGTATGCCTTAGTCTTAAACAAGCTTGAAAACTACGAGTTACCGTAGTATTTGAGTTGGTCTCCAAGCTTCAAGTAGATGAGCCTTCTAGAATGTTTCAGCTATGGAGGTTGTCTTGGTGGGTCACGATGTCCCATACGAACAACATAGATTTGCTGTGTGATCCTTGGTCAGGGGCTGCTGTAATTCGGGTATGATACTAGCACATTAAATTTTAGTCCTTGGGACCAAAGAATGAACAATAGCAGCCTTCTTTCACCTTTTTCTTAACCAAATGATAATCCCAACACCCTGGATTGCATGCACAGATAAGGGCTGCATCTGATAATGGAAGTCGAGGAAATTTAGTTACAAGGTCGAAGTTTGCATAGTTTTGTGTATATGCTGACATTTATGTTTCCTTTTATCTGCAGTTACAAGATATATGCTGAAGGCTATGCTTGGTCTGTAAGCTTGAAATATATTCTATCATGTGGTTCACTTCCTCTAATAATTTCCCCACAATATGAAGACTTCTTCAGTCGTGCTCTTATTCCGATGTTAAACTACTGGCCTGTCTCTTCCATCGATGTATGTCGCTCCATCAAGTTTGCTGTTAACTGGGGCAATGCAAACCCATCTGAGGTTGTGATTTTTTGCCAATTAAATTTCCAATAAGTAGTAACTGTTATAGGTAATGGGGTATGATCCTCTAAATTATGAAAAGCTTAAGACTGGAAACATGCATTAAACTTGGCCCTGAGACCAAGTAAAACATAGATGTCACCTTTCTCTAACAAGCATATTAATCGGTTGTATGGATTCGATTATGATCAATTATGATAAATATCACCGATCGAAACCGCGAAACTGAATTTAAAATCTTGAATCCAGTAGTAGTACATGACTACATTCTTTCTTTCTGGTTCATTTGGCTAATCAGGCACAGGCGATCGGAAAAAGAGCGCAACAACTGATGCAAAATATGAGCATGGATCAGGTTTACCATTACATGTTTCACCTGATTTCCGAATATGCAAAGCTGCAAGACTTTAAGCCAGTCCCACCACCGTCGGCTCAGCAAGTATGCGAAGAATCCCTGCTCTGCTTTGCAGATGAGAAGCAAAAGGAACTACTTAAGAAATCAGCGGTCACTTCGGTTTCATCGACACCGCCCTGCACCCTTACCCGGAATCCCAACCCAAATTTTTTCACTGCTTGGGCTAAGCAGAAGCAGAAAATAATCAATTTGGTGAAAGACATGGAGAATAGAACAAATGCAGCTACTACTTAGATGAGATATGTATAGTACGAATTTATGTCTTGTGTTTGTCATTCATTCTTACGGATTACGGATTATGATTTATATTTATACGATTAATTCAAAAGAATAGCACATTATACAAGTTGTTAGATCTATCCAGAAATAAGTGCATTAGTTTTTGCTGTTGTCCAAGATCACTGAATGTCAATGTTACCTACGAATCAATTAATTACCTTCTAAAAAAATTAGGGTAAATTACACAAATGGTTCCCCAACTATAGAGTGTTGTTTTGTTTAGTCTCTCGACCATTAAAAGTTATAAAATGATCATCCGACTATATGTCGTTGTTCTGTTGAGTCCCTCAACTATTTAAAGTTACAAAATGATCACTCGACTATTCATATGTTACGAACTCATCAGTTTTTAGTAAAAATTTGACGGTCATCTAAGTTGAACATCAACATACTGATTGAGATATGATAATCGTTTGAGATTATAAGATCAAATTTTAGCATATCTCAGTGAAAATGTTATCGTCCAGCTTAGACGACCGTTAATATTTTTTTTGCCAAAAAAGATTGAGTGTGGAACATATGAATAGTCGGATGACTATTAGGTAATTTTTAATAGTTGGGGAACTCAACAAAGCAACACCCTATAATTAGAGAATATTTTTTTTTTAATTTTTAATAATCGAGAGATTCAATAAAACAACGTTCTATAGTTGGGGATCATTTGTGTACTTTACCCAAAAATTTAATACTTAAGAGTTAGTTATAAAGATTAGTACGATCTCATTAGTGCACAAACAACTTAATCATGCATTTACAATAAACTTTCAATATGAATCAAACATAACATATCAACTAACTACTTGCTTTGTTAGCTACAATTTGATGCATTTACTATAATAAATTTTAGAGATTAAATTGAAAAAATAATAAACGACTTTAATTATTAATTTTTTATTAAAGTCAGATATGTTTTTTAGTTAAAATTGTCACATAACATTTTAACAGAGATTAGAAAATATGGTGATTTGGGTAAAGTCAAGGGGACAGAGGTTGGCAAAAAAATTACGAGATAGCTTGAGAAAATAAGTATTATTCAAAGAAATAAAATATATTTTACTCCTGTGTATTTATATATATATTATAGGATTATTTATTATCATGACGATTTTTTTGTTTGAATCTTCATATTAAATTTGGATAATGGATATGTGATATGTGTTCGGAGATAGTTTTCTCACGATGTTTGACTCTGCTTTTTATTATATATTTATGGTCTTTCATTAGTTTGATCTCCTATTGTGGTTAGTTGACCGATGCAGTCAGATATATTCCTATTTATATTTTATTTGATTTTTAAATTAATTTTTAACTCTTTTCTTATATATTTACCTTCGTATCATCTTTAAGCGACTAATTTCTTGTGTAAGTTGTTACAAGAAATGTTTTAATTATACATTTAAGTTTATTGGTTATGGCTGCAATTTATTTTAACATCAACGTACCAAAAAAAGAAATGTTTTCATATTATAAAAGAAACCCAAAATCAAAAGTACAATTTCATATTTCTTAGACCTAAAACAAGGATTCCAACAATTTATTATTATTAGATATTTTTGGTTAATTTCACATTATAGAACAAGCATGAGGGTTCTCGTCACTGAAAGCTGAACCTGTTTGATGACCAAAAATGGTGGAATGAGCTGGATAACGATAGTAAGAAGGATAATTGCTATCATATCCATGCTTGTAGTAATTGTAAGATGATGAAGGCTGTGGTGCATAATATGTCATTGGTCCATTGCATTGGTGTTGATTGTAGTAGTGATTACCAACACTATGGTGCTCCGGGTTGTAGGGCAACTGCCACAGCTCAGCTCGCCGGCCGGTTTTCCGAACGGTTTTAAGAACCTTTTTCTGGTCGGCATATCCGGTGACTGTCACCTTTTGCATGCCCATATCGACGTCCACTTCGTCAACCCCTGCGTGCGCATTTGAAACCCCACAATGTTAATAATCAATTATATTTTAATTATCAGTCGGTCTAATAAGATATCAACCTTTGAGTTTTTGAAGGGAGCTTTTGACCTTGCTCTCACATCCAGCACAATCCATATGAACTCGCATCTCAATGATCTGAGAAAATAATCAAATTATTAAAAGAAATAAAAATATCTAAATCTAAGAATGAACAAAACTCGACCCGACTCAAAAAATCAAATTTTCCGAATCGAATTTAATTGACTCGTAATTTCATGAACTCGAATTAACTAAAAAAATTTAAATTCAAGAAGAGTTATAAAATAGAACTCAAATTACTCAATTTTTGGATTGATTTTTAAGTTTGAGTCGAATCATTCAACTCTGCATGATTTATTTATATCACATATGAAAAAATAGAAATAAAAATATATGTATATTGTATATTATAGAAAATCATTTAAATTAGAATCAGATAGTATCATAACATTATAAATATTTACAATTACATTTCAATAGAAATCGAAGAACTCAACTCTAGAAAATTTCAAATAAAATTTAAGTTATAAAATAAAGCTCGTAGACTCGAATAACTCAAAACTTTTTGACTTGATTTGAATCAATCGAATACTCAATCCTACTGACATAATATTGAATTATAGAGATGCTTACCGTCATTTTTCTCGCTTGAAATTCCCTTGGAAGAGTGTGTATAAAAAGAGATCTTTGAAAGTGGATGATAGGAATACAATTGAGAGAAATTTTGTTGTTGTTTATATATAAATCAAGTTATGGTCCTCTACGATTATTATATAATTAAATTATTGTATTTTGTGATGGGTAAGCATAAACTATGATTTAATGCACCGACCTCAACGGTATTGTTGAAGCAAAGTTGCTTTGGAAAGGAAAAGGCACCATGCCCTTTGCATGGACTTCCACACTTGCGGATTGATCCATATGGGACGGTGTTGACTAAATTTTATCTTATTATTTTTAGTTTTATATAATCAGTTCCACGTGAAATTGTCTTAAGATGCTGCCATTTCTGTCAGCAGAAGGAGCTCCAAAGATTCTTTTTATTATATTAAACATAATGATAAATGTATTGTAATGTTTACATAAATAGTCACTTTATCTTTTATGTTTTGGAGTATTTTATCCCAACATTTAATTTTTAGTCAAAATAAATCATGTAAATGAAAATCGTTAGTTGATTAATGGTCAACTCATGCTGGTGACGTGATATTTTTTTCATGTGTCAAATTACTGACGTAATACATACCACAATAATATGTAAGTACTGAAGACTAAATATATAGTTATGTCAATTTTGTTAATTGTCACGTCAGTATTTCTGTTAAATATTAACAATAGATGGCTTGATTGAAACCACTTAAATAGCTATGTGGTCATTTTGATAAAATTGAAAGTATTCATATTAACACTAATCTCATAATTAAGTGGTCTTTTGAGTAATTTACCCTAAAAACAAATTGTATACACTGTAAAAGTAAGATCAAAATCTTGAGAAGAAAAAAAAAGGAAAAAGTCATCGATAAGACTTTTGAAAAGAATAATTGATATATGTAAATGGTGTCTTTAATTAAATATGAGATGTGCCTATTTATAAGCTACAAAAGACATAAAACTTAGGTAAAATTCTTAAAAACAAATTTGAACTAAATTATAAAATTTAAAAAAAATCTTAATTTATCTAAATCACTTAATAAAATAAAAATATATTAAATCCAATCCTAACTTATCTAAAACACGTGTAAAGAGTACTAAAATGAATTTAATAATAGATAATCAATAAAATATTGTAATTTTTAATAATTAAAAAATCTAATATTAATATTGTATAAGAATTTATGCAGGTGAGTCTTTATTAAAATGGACGTATCTTGAGTTCTTAAAGTTCGATTGAGACGTTTCGAGATGAATAGGTATAACGCCTTGAAATCTGAACTCTGTGTTTTATCTAAGTAAATCAGATTTTATAATTTGAAATTTTTGAATTTGGGACTTAATTGGAAGAAATGTCAAGTTGGTAGGACCTAATTGAATAAAATCAAATTCTGGTGGCTTAATTAAAACTTTTATAGAATAAAATATCTTATATTGAGCGAGGGTAAAAGTTTGAAGTTCAATATGTGAACCTCAAGATTCTACAAGGGCTTCTTTTGTAAATCCTCCCACTTTAGTGTTAAGCTAAGAAAAGATAAATGGAGAAAAGGGTGAGTTTGCGTGTGGAGGCCCTCCAATTTGTTCCCTTTTGCCCTTTCAGCTTTGACTGTCCATTTGTGCCAAGTACATGTTGTAACACCCTAAACCCAATTCGAATGGGTTTATGATGTCACATTGGGACTCAAGAGCGACTCGAATTCATACCTCATTATCTTTATACGATAGAAGTTCAAGATACATTTACGCAAAAACCATGTTGATAGTATAGAGTTCTTAAAACAATGTATTACATAACACGAAACACGAGTTATATAGTTGAAAACAAAATATAACATAATTTAAACATATTTAGATTCAAGACTGACATAATCGGATTCACGTAGACACATATATCCTCTACAAGAAAACAGTATTGTACTTTTAATATCAAGTGTTGGAATCCCTTCATGACAGTTTTCCTTGGAAGGTCAATCTTCTATCTACAATCTTAAATTAGTGAACAATCGAATATTGAGCTACGAGAGCCGAACAATGCACAATTACTCTAAGCAATTCATACGAAACATTATTATAGACAATGTAAGTGCAAGTTCTAAATAAATATCACATCTCAATTTAATTCCCATCGCCAGTTAATGTTAACCTTTGTATTTATAAATGTTGCTTGATAGGTGCTTTCGTACAAGTCACCTTATTCATACAAGTTGTGATGCTCTAGTTCGAGTCGCCCAGTGTGACTACAACTCGGTGCTCTCACATGAGTCATTGGATATCGTAATAACAAGGTGGTCCTGTGCGAGTCACCTGAACTAATAATAACTCAGTGCTCCCGTACAAGTCACCAAATATTATATTAACTAGGTACTTTCGTACGAGTCACATTGGTGAATGATAACGTTTATAATTAATTGATTATTCAACTATTACGTGGCAGTTCAATTCTGACTTTTGGCGTCTCAGTAGTATTACCCGAGAGTCGGGAGATGGTTCTCTATCTTCCTTAAATATTGAGATATCCATATAACCTTAAATAGTGAAGAAGTATCGATACTACATTCTATTAATATCGATATTCTGAGAGATATTGATACGAAAAATTGCCTTGAAGTTTCTTTTACTTAGTCATAGTATCGATACTTCCATACTTGTATTGATACTATCCTTCATGGGTATCGATACCAAAATAGCTCTCAAAATTTTGGAAATTTCACCTAGTATCGATTTCCTCCATCCAAAGTATCGATACTTCCCCTGGTATTGATACTAAAATAGTTCACTGAAATTTTGAAGGATGTCTCAGTATCAATACCAACCCTCTTGGTACTGATACTATAAGATAATTTACTCAGAATTCTTCATGAATTTATCTTATATCGATATTATTCTAATAGTACTAATACCCTAATCCAGAATTTGATAATTTAGGCTTAAGAATCCCTTTCAACATGTCCCAAATCGATCTATTTGACCCCTAAATCATCTCCGAAGGTGATCAAGAATATACATGCGTCATCTAACATCATTAACAAAAATTTCCATTGTGAATTTGATCGATTATAACCAAATCGAGCTTTATGACCAATTTACACACAAGCATACTGTAACATTCTTAATATCGGGTTAGTGATTAAATTGTAAAGTTTCAGAATTTGGTGATTAAATTAGAATAATTAAATAGTATAAGGGCTTATATGTGAAATGTTGTGTAGGATCAAATTTCAAAGAAAGGAGAAATAGAAGGATAAAATAGTCATTTTGATAGTAAAATAATTAAATTGAAGAAGGGTTATATATTAGTCACACGTGGAAGTGAAGGAAGCAAAACAAGGTTTTCAGAGTTCTCTTCTCCTCTCTTCTTCTTTGTACGTGAAGGTCCAAAATCAAAGGTGAGTTAATGGTTAGTTCATTTCTTGTTGAATTTAAGATTGGTTTATGATCATTGGATGATAATTAAGCCTAAGGAAAGCTTAAGTTATCTTAAAATCAAAGGATGATGAAGTTAGGAGAGATTAAAGGTTAGGAGCTATTGAATGAAATCTTGAAATAGAGTTCATAATTATATTTGGAAGTTGGATTTGACCTGTCATCAACCTAATTAAGGAATATGAAGTATTAGAATTAGATTTAGAACATGTTGCAAAGTTGGTGTAATTTTTGAATTACATATGAAGGGTAAGATTTTGAGGTTAAAGAGGTTATTATTGAGTAGAAATAAGTTTAAACATGAGTAGATGAACTAAGAATATGTGAAGAAATGAAATATGAAGTGTTGAGCTGAAAATAAAGTGATTTTCGTGCTCAAAATATGATTTCTAGGCAAAGTGTAACGGTACACATTCAACAGGTATCGATACACTCTTGAATAAAGAAAACATTGAGTGCAATAAGTGTATCAATACATATGAAGTGTATCAATACACCCCTTTAAAATAAAAACATCGAATGTAATTTGTGTACCGATACATAGGTAGTGTATCGATACACACGTTAAGGAATGTACCGATACACTATAGAGTGTACCGATACCTATCTTAAATAAGAATGAAAATAACTTTTCTTTTAGTTAAAAAAATAGAAGATTAGAATATATCAATTAGTATATTGATATGTATCAATGTATTACTATGTAGATATAGATCGTAATCCCGTTTTGGAACAATCAAAGAATTAGGATCAAGTCAAAGCAAGCAAAGCTAAGATGAGTGCAAACCCTAGTTAGATCGTATAGAGATAAGACTTGCGATGAGTCTATCTCTTATAGTTGAATTCATGATTGCATATCCATGTACATGCATTTATATATATATATATATATATTGTTATAGTGTAATAGATACATGCAAGTTGAAAGGTCATGATCAAATGGTAAGAATGCATGTTCATGAATTTATTGTTATATTTATATATTCATATTATGTCTCACTAAGTCTGTGACTTAGCGTGTAAGTGATTTACACGTAGGTACCAAGAATCAAGAAGAGCATAAATAGGAGTGGCAAGGACAACATCACTGCTAGAAGACCAGATCGGAAGTAACTGATAAAGTATGTATTTTGTTGTGTATAGTGTGTTGGCATGTAAGAAATATGTTAGTTACAAATGCTCTGATCGATTTTGTATTGTTTTGGTCTACTTATGTAAAGTAATAACTTTTATTTTAATGAAAGTTTAAAATTTCATTGATTTTCGTCAAGAGTCAAAGTTTGAAAAGTCAATGTGACACCTCAGACTCGTATCCGGGTCGGGTACGGATTGTGGGTGTTACACATACTTATTAACTCATAAGTACTTAACATTATAGTTCACATGAGTTTACTGAGAATAAGGGTACACTATCTTTGCCTAAAACAATAAGAAAGGAGACTTCTTGGTCTCTCCAACTAAGCTTTCTCTTTTCTCTTAGTTTGGGATTGTTCTCCACCTCTTTCTTTCACTTTAAAATGGCTTATAATAACACCAGAATTCAAAGTTGATGGAGGAAGCAACATGAGAAAGAGAGAATGGTCAAGTAAAAAAAATGTTAGAAAATGGAGATTTCTACAAAAACCCAACACCATAGAAACTAGTATCCTCATTTTCTTACTTGGGTCAACATCTAAGCTATGGGGTTTACCTAGCTTTATGTTTTCTATCCCTATTTTAACTAGTGAACCCATTTCTTCCTCGTTGTAGTGTTGTCTTTGTCATACAACAATTTTTTATGATGTTTATAGAATTTAAGGTTTATGCTTAACTTGACTAGGCTTATTGTACACAGTTGCACAAAATAAGGTCAGATGCACCAATTTTCAATTTTCATGCATTCTTTCCATTCCTAACACTCATCTTACTTCCAAAATGTATGAAGTACTGTAAAATATCCGGGAAATGTTCATGGAAACTTGATATGCATTAAAATAAGTGGTGGATGCATATGGTATTCAGGATAGACATCTGTCTATCTTGAAATTTTATTTTTCTTCAATTAATTATCAATTTATTTGATTATGTTCATCTCAGGTACATTATAATATATGTGTCACCGTGTTAGATAAATTAATTGATTGTGTAAAGTGATTGTGACTATTTCTTTTAATAAACTCGTGCTTAAAATTTGAGAATGAATTCTCACGTTGAGAATGCAACGTAACTCGCCAATTCACCAAATATTTGTTGTTATTATTATCATTATTAGAGGATACAAGATCTTTAAATGCCAAAAAAATTGTATTCAAAATCCATCAAATGACTTCAGTGATTAAAGGGAATTTTATTTTATATAGAAATTCTAGGTTCGAGCAACCACGTAAAGATCATTTAGACTTGGCACGCGAAAGCAATCGAGTCTCATATAGTTGTGGATCAGTCTGATAATACACTATATCTCCATTGTTGCTCACATAATGATCTTGTTTAAGGCTTGTGATTAGATTCTTCATCAAATAAATTGGGACAAACCCTGATTTCTTTGGCTCCCGGTAGTATTTTCCGATCACCGGTTTCGCCGCTTTAGTCTGCAAAACCAAAAAAAAATAATCTTTTGGACTAAAACAAATAAACTTTTTTTTAGTCATTTGAAATCAAGCTGTTTTATGATATGAATGTTGTTTAAGAACATTACAGCTTCAACTAAGTGATAATGAGGAATTTGAGGGAAGAGATGATGGATGACATGTGTGCCAATGTCATGGTGGATGTTGTTGAATAAACCATAATCACGATCCACTGTTGTAAGCCCTCCTCTGAGATAACTCCATTCCTATCAAATATACAACAAAATCAAGCTTCAACTCATTATTGCCATCTCTGGAGTTTTTACCTGTCAGATACATAAATACATACATACATTGTGAAATTGATGTATTTAGGTAGGGTATACTCTTTACCTTGCCACGGTACCATGGAAGTTTCTGCTCATGGCCATGGTGGTGTAGATAAGTCACTGAATCCACCCATATCACGAATATCTACGAAATTAAAATCAAAATGGTTGAGCATTTAGAAATTCCCTATGCATGTAAAAACAGGACTAGAAACTTCATGACTCAGTCTTTGACCCGTACGACCATTCTCTATCGACTAACGAGTAGGTCCGACTAACGTACTGAGTAGGGAACACAGTAGAGCTTAAATATCAGGGATGGACCGACTGCAAATGATAAGTAGGCGAGTAGAATAGCCATTGCAGACCAACAAGCAGTCGAAGTCATCACAAGTTTCCTCTCTTGTGGCCTAAACAGGTTGCTATAAGGGTTGAAATGAGATCCTTCCTTGCCTGGACTTCTATACCACTGCAAAGAAAAGAAAACAAAGGTAGGAAAATTTAGCTCCTTAGTGGCCATTATGTTAACAAAACTAAAACAAGCTTTCTCACCAAATATATGGGGTATGCAAATAGAGGGAAGGGGACAGTGAATCGCAGAAACCGCGTATGCCCATCCAGTTTCTTGTAAAGATTCTCAGGCAACTGAGATTAGAAATCAAAGTATGAATGATCAGTTTGAAACTCGACACATATCATGAGTTATAAGGGAGAAAATGAGGTCGAAAACGATGTACCGGAACCCATGACTCGTCCTTGTCAACATTCCCATGGTTCTGATGATGAGTTCTATGGCTTATTCTCCTGCAAGATTTCCGAATGATGATGTTATGTAGTTGCAATTGTAAACAACAAATGTTTACCTACTTTAACTTACCAGCCATGGTAAGGAACAAGAATTGAAGAATGTAAGATATGTCCCACCACACTATTCAAAAGAGCATTGTTCGAAAAGCTTCCATGGCCACTGCAAATCCGAGACCAGATTAAGATCATAACTGATCTAAAATGTAAATTAAAACTTAAAACAATATGTTAAGCATCATTACCAATCATGTCCAAGGACAAAGAGAGCCCAAAACATGGTTCCCTGGGCAAACCAGTAGATTGGCCAAAAGAACCAATTATTGAAGTAGACTGCAGCTGCTGCTAATGCAAAGACCACATGGACATCCCTCAAAACATAACTCATAGACCTCCATGGATTCTTGATCCAACAGTGCTTTGGTATGGCAGCTCGGATATCGGCAATCTGGAACGGAGGAGGTGCACTCGGATCGAAATTATCTTGCTCCTCGGTTCCACGAACCCCATTAACATACTCCCCTTTCAACTCCATTGTTTAGGGTGATGTAAGTGATGGATAGCTAATTTATCTCCACTCTTCCAAGCCTTTATATAGATGTGAAACTTAGAATTTGAGATTTATGCTAACCAGAACCAATCAGCTGAAATTACCCTAAAGACATCATGTTTCCTTGTAATAGAAAAGGAGACAAAAAGTTGCATAAAAAGTATGAGATTGTCTATCTGTTTACTAAAAGAAAAATTTATATTCCAATCACACACAATTCCTTTTTCAGATTTTTTCTTTTCTAATTTTCTGATAATTACCTTAATTAGTCTATCTTCAAGTCTCTGAATCTAAAGTAATTACCGAGACAGAATGAAAAACATAATAGAAAGTAAATTAACTGATCATCAGTCTTGACTTGGTGTGGATTCCAGGTATAGTTCTTAAACAGGAAAATGTGATTAATTTACTTTTACTTGACAATTTATCAAACATGTGTAGTGTATTTTCTCGTGTTAATAGGATTAAGATACAAATTTACAAATAAAATGAGTAAAAATACATGCAAGCATGGGCATCCATCAATGGGGATTCAGAAAAGCTAAAGGGGTTAGAAAAGAATGATTCCATTGACAAGAAATACTAATTAATGAGTTCCCATTTATGAAGAAGAAGAATTAAGAGTACAAACAAATGGGAAAACAGTGTTAAACGTCAAGTTAATGGAAACTTAAAAATTTGTTCTTTGGGTATCAAAACCGACAAAGTTCTACTTTTCGGAGTGCAGGGAACATATTCTAAAGATCACTAACTCGACTGTAGCTTGATGAACAAGCAAGAAAACAGAAAGAAACGAAGAGGGTTCCAAGAAACTGGAGAAATTAATGTGAAAAGTGTATTCGATCTTAAAGTAAACCCCAAACCATAAAATAAGATTTCGAATACTTTAGTAAATTAAAAGAAGATCCACTTGGGGGAAAAAATGAAGAACAATAAAACAATGCAAATGTCAACGTACGGACCTGATGGAGTTGTGCAAAATTTTGATTCCCAACAAACAAATACGGACGGTTTTGATTTTTTGTTGTTAAAACTAAGCAATGAGATTAAGCCCTTTTATAAGCCAAACCAACTTGTAATTCGGATGAGAATAAATTTTTGGGTAAACTACTTATTTTTGTCACTCATCTATTCTCACGTTTTTGTTTTAGTCACCCAACTATTTTCTTTTAAAACCATACTTCATGTTACGTTTTTTTAGTCACCCATTATAGATTCTGTTTAATTTTACAAAAATATACAAATAGTTATTTAACCATTTTCTTATTACCAAATAAAATTAGAAAATTAATTAGTCTTTAATTTAACAGTTATACAAGCTAAATAATAATTTTGGTGGAACATGAACAATTTTTTATCCTAATTCAATGGCTAAGCATTTGAATCATTTTATGAAATGTACAAGGTTCAAATCTCGAATCCAACAAAATTATTTATTTTGTGATGATAAATTGATAATGTAGTATAACCTTTTCTTTTCTTTTTATTCCCATAAAATATAATGTGAAAATTAAAAAAAATATCTACGTTTAAAAAAATTAATGATGGGTGATCAAAAGGAAAATCTAATATTAAGTATGATATTAATTTATTATAGAAAATGACATGTGATATGCCAACTTAATGGTGTTAATGTCACATTAAAAAATTCAATTTTATTAACCAAAGTATAAGCGTCACGAAATATAAAAATAAATTATATATGTAACCATATTCATGTTAAATAAATATAGTTATATATGTACCTATAATATTTTTTTTTGAAAAGATAAATATGTAATAAGTAAATAGAAAATAATGTTACGCGGGTAATAATATCAGAATGATATGAATAATTAAAGTAAAATTAAAATTTTAAAATTGCACTCGAAATATAAAAATTAAAAAGAATATTATAATAATATTTTTAGATATAACACGAATATTTGATTTATCTATCGACTTAATAAAATAAATATTATACAAACCCATTATAAGACCAATCCTTTCAAATAAATAGCTCAATTCATGTTTAAAATTTGAAACTAATTGTTTCTTATTTAAGTTATAATAATATTAAAAGAAGCTAATTTTAGGTGGCGGTAGTTCTAAGAATTAGTTAGATAATGGGGTATAATTAATGAAGTAAAATATTTTTTTTATTAATTCGAGATAATTATAAGATACTATTTATTTTAAATTTTTTAATTATTTAATAGTAAACACAAAATCTTTCTAAAGATTTTGTAATTGAATTTGTGTAGTTTGTATGATGAAGTAAACTATTTTAATATAGTCATTTGTGTCTGACGTGTAACAATGTGTAAATGCAAATTACCCACGTGTGAGAAAAAGTAAAGCAAAAAAACACTCGAAAAATCACAGCAATACATTACTGTCTGCCTACCAAATTTAATTCATTGGTATACGTAGTACTCAAGACAATAACTTCTTTCGAAGGACATTACGGTAACTAAAATTGAGGTGGATTTTGGTTGGATGAAATCTCTTGGAATTGGGAGGAATTGGAATCTAATTCTACCACTTTTTCATGTTTGGTTCAAGTTTTTCAAGGGAATTAGAATCTCTCATGGCTTCAACTTTCCATCAAATGAGGGAAAGTGAATTCCATCAAAAAAATGGATGGAATTCAATTCTCTTGTTGGAGGGAATTGAAATTTGATCATACTACCCTCATCAATCTTTTGGTAACTTATTCATATATTGAATAAAAATATTTTTTATTATTTCGGGTCGGGTTTCTAATTCATATATTCGGGTCGGTTCGGGTGAAACTTTATTTTGGTCGGATCGGGTCGATTTTTTTAAGTGTGATATTTGGGTCGGGTCGAGTTCGGGTTTAGGGTGAAAAATACCCGACCCAAAAATATATATAATTTTACCTTATATATTTAGGAATAATTACAATAATACCCCTCTATATATATTTTTTTTCAATTAAGTCACTATTTTTATTGAATAAAAATAATTTTTTATTATCTCGGGTCAGATTTCTAATTCATATAATCGGGTCGGGTGAAACTTTATTTTGTTCGGGTCGGGTTTTTTAAGTGTGATATTCGGATCGAGTCGGTCGGGTTTTTTTAAGTGTGATATTCGGGTTGGGTCGGGTTCGGGTTTAGGGTGAAAAAAACCGGTCCGACCCGAAAAAATATATAATTTTACCTTATATATTTAGGAATAATTACAATAATACCTTCTATATATAATTTTTTTTCAACTAAGTCAATATTTTTATTAAATAAAAATAATTTTTTTATTATTTTGTGTTGTGTCGGGTCGAGTTTCTAATTCATATATTAAATAAAAATAGTTTTTGGTATATTTTTGGTAACTAATTAACATACTCCGATTGGAATGTATCGAAATATTGCTCTATCTTTTGGTAACTTATTAACATATTTTGATTGCGATGATTTTAACTTATAATATTTATTAGCATGATTTTTATAATTTATTAAAATGAATAATCAATCAATAAAATGAAAATTTAATATTTTTAATTTTTCATAATATATTACTACATGTAAGTTGTAAAACAAACTAAAATAAAGCAAAAAACAAGAAGGTCAATTCTTTCATTTTACATTACTGAAATCAAATTCATCTGACATGTCTGCGAACCACAAAATATAAAATTAGATTCCAATTTCATTTCCTGCCAACCAAACAGAATATGAAATTGAATTCCAATTCCTGACAGATTCCAATTCCTTCACATATTCCAATTCCCTCATAAACATTCCAGCAAACCAAACGCCACCTGAGGGAATTTTGGCTGAAGGAGGTGGGCAATGGTAGTTAATTCGGTTATGACGTAGGCTTAATACACGTTTTAGTGTTTAAATTATATTTTAAAATATAATTTGGTGTATAAAGAATTTTTCGTTAAAAATATGTATCTAACGTTTTCAACGTTATACTTTTAGGTGTCTAGACCATAACAATCGTTATATTTGTCTATCACGAATATAAAATTTCAAAATTATTTTATTTTAAAAAAATAATATTATAATTTAAAAATAAAAAACCCCAAAATTTACATATTCCACCGTTGATCGACCAACGTCAATATGTGGTCGTCACCGTTGACACCATGAGAAACGTATTGCCATCGCGACCAAAACCCAACCCCCTACCCACCGTAAAACTACGCTAATCGTTGTGAAAAATTTCACGAATGATTATTGGATTTCTAGGTTTTTCGTTGTTGTTTTCCAGCGATTTTGACGGCTACAACCCTTCGTATATTACACGGCCACCACCATTGAAATTTTTATCTTGTTCCGAACAAAACCTAGACCCTTCACCATCGAAGATGTGGGATGGAAGGGAGAGAGACGACGCGAGAGGGTGCACCTGTGGTTTGATTTTTTTCTTCTTTTTTTCTTTTTTTAAATAATATTGTTATTATTAAAAAATTAGAAAATTAAAAAATATAACAGTAGTCACCTAAAAGTGTAACAGAGAAAACGTTACACACCTATTTTAACAAAAAATTCTTCAAACACCAAATTGTATTTTGAGGTATAAGTTAGACACTTATTTTTGTAGTAATCCTATAAAATATGAAATACGAGAATAGTTTTTTTTTAGCATTTTAGGGTTTCTTTAGACTTTAAGTAGTGACAGATTTAGAAATATTTTTTTGGGTAGACACTTATGTATAAATAAAATTTCAGGGTAGGCATCTTCAGTAAAATAAATAATTAACATAAAAATTTTAGATTTCAGGGTCGACACGTGATTACCTTGAAGTATACATACATCGGCCACTGATTGGAGACGTTTTTAGGGGTTTGAGAAAATTAAAAAAATTAAGATTTTAAAAAAAATTAAAATTTTGATTGTGTGTCATGCATTCATTAGATGATGAGTTTTTTTGTTAAGGTTAATAATTTGATCTTAAAATGATAACGAAATAAAATATTAGAAATCTTTCTTAACCCAAAAAAAAACTTTAAACATATAAAGTAAAAAAAACAGTTTAAACATTTATTTTACAAATAAGGCATTGACTAAATTATTAATGTCTGTTTGGTTGGTTAGTCTAATGATACAAGAAAAAATTTATTTAATAGATCAAAAAAATTAGGAGCGAATATTTGATCAAGTCGAATTAAATAAAAAAAACTTTAAA